TTCCCTCTTGGGATGAGGGGACATTCGAAAGACCCAAACCTAAACTAGAATAACCCAGCGTGCTTCCATTCTCATCCCTGAACAGAACAGAACTTTAGGTATATTGCTGTCTGTTAGGAAGTCTAATAATCTTCCCTTTAATGCCTGACCAGATCTTTAAAAACTGAGAGATCTGTTTCACACAATATGCTATATCGCAATAACAGAATAACAGAGTTGGAAGGCACCTAGGAGGTCTTTTAGTCTGACCCCCTGCTCAAGTGGGAGATCCTATTCCATTTCAGACAAGGGGCTGTCCAGACTCTTCTTAAAAGCCTCCATTAATGGAGTACCTACAACTTCTGAGGGCAAGCAATTCGACTGGTTAATTGTTCTCACTGTTTACGAAATTTCTCCTTAGTTTTAGGTTGGATGTCCTTGATTAGTTTCTATCTTTTCCTTCTTTTTCTGCCTTCAGTAATTTTGGAGAATAGCTTGACTCCCTCTCTGTGACAACCCCTGAGATATTGGAACACTGCTATCACATCACCCTAGTCCTGCTTTTCATTAAACTAGACATACTCAGTTCCTGCAACTGTTCTTTATATGTTTTAACCTCCAGTCCCCTAATCATCTCGTTGCTCTTTTCTGCACTCTAGTTTCTAGAGTCTCAACATTTTTAAAATATCTTTTTTTAGGTTTATAAGCAGCTTTCTATAACCAGCTGACTGAAGGCACACATGGCAACTGAGCAGAGCAGGAGCCCACTTGGCTTCTTCTCCCACCCCCTGTGCTATGTTTATTTACATTTTATTTTTTAACTTCCAATTGACCTGATGCAGGCCAGATCGGGACAGCCAAAGGGCAGGATGCAGTCTATGATATAGGATGGTCAGATGCAGTTGATGCTCTAGGATTCAGACAAACAGGATTCATATCATGATCTCTACTTACACCTTTTTAATATCTTTTTTTTAGGTGCATCTGGTGTGATGTTGTTTGGAATTTCCCTTTCAACCTCTGGTGGTACTAAAAATATATAAATCCGGCTTTTAAAATTTGTTGCATTCAAGTATGAATCATTTTTAAAAACTGATTTACAACAGTGCCACCTAATACCTTGTGGAAAAAGTGATCCCACCAGTTTATTACGCTTCCAACACTTTCAAGAAAGAATTGCCCATTTTGGCAATCAAAACTGGAGCAATCAAACATACTGATTTTCATAGATACAGACATAACAATAAAACATACTGATTTTCTTTAATATTTGGAGTAAATGTAATATTTTTCCTTTGAAAATCCTATCGTTGCATTCTAATTGCATTGCATTTAGGTTATGTGTCCATTTATCTGACATTTTCAGCTTCTGAGTCATCCTTCACCCATGATTTGATCTATAAATCAAATCCATATTGCATATTACAAGGTTTCCAAATTCAGCCAAGTCTCAATAATAGCACTTGTTTCTGTAATTCCTAGAATGTTATGCTACTTATTTAGAGATCATGAAACTGGACCATTGTGTTTAATAGAATTGCAGTGCTATGATACATCCTTAGCTAAATACCACATAACAGCACCGCAGTTGGGCTTTAGCTGCAAATAACTTAATTGCAGTTCTAAAGCAAAATGATAAATTGTAGATAAATGAAGCTGATTTATGAAAATGTTGAGATGCTTAAGATAAATGTTTCAGCTTTGTTCAGTTTTATTTCTAGGATAATTTATAGTGGGTTTTGATGGCGAAATGAGTGGAATCGTGGCCTAGTGGGGAAGATACTTGGCTCCCATTCAGAAGCTTGAGAGTTCAATCCTAGGTAGCCTTTCTTAGGGCAAAAAGAAAAAAAATATCTGCTCCGAACTCCATATAGGCATTAGGAAGGGAATCTGGCTAGTAAACTGCTCAGCTCCATCCAGTCACCCCAACTCTACCCCAAATAGAGACTATAGCAGTGATGGCTAACCTTTTCCAGACTGAGTGCCCAAAACGTGTGCATGTGCACGCAAATGCGCATCCATACACCTGAACCCCCAAAATGCAATACATGTGGGCCCCCCCCACATGTGCCTCAACCCCCATGCATGTGTGTGCGCCCCCCCTCATGCCCCCCCTGCGCATGCACAGCAGAGACCCAAAGACCAGCTGGCTAGCGGGAGGCATGTGCGCATGCATGGCGGAGTGGAACTGGGGTGATGGCTCACGTGCCCACAGAGAGGGTGCTGTGTGCCTCCTCTGGCATGCGTGCCGTAGGTTTGCCATCACGGGACTATAGGATCTTAAAAATGGGAGGTGCTTTTTGATGGCCAAATGATATGCTGGACCCCAATTAAATACTGAGATAAGACCATTTAATTTACGATTTATTTGGAACTTTCCAAGATAAAAAGGATTCTGGTTTTACGAGAGAGAGAGAGAGAGAGAGAGAGAGAGAGAGAGAGAGAGAGAGTGGAACATAGACTCATTTCTTTTTATAGTTTGCACAACAACGTAAAAGTTGATTGGTTTAGGAAAAATCATTTGCCCAGTTACATCATGAAAAATTAAACATCCAATAATATGTCAACATAAGAATTGAAAAGCACATTGTATTAAAAGTATCAAAAGTAAAATGTTAGCATGGGAAAAGACATCCTGAGTGAATAGATACAATTTCAGCTAAGTTGAAACTTCTTAACATGCACAATTGAAAAAGAAAGCCTTTTGTTATTCAGCCTGAGAAAGTTCTTATCTTGCAGTTAGTTACAAGAAGTTGGTTACTAAAGGAAAACTTGAACATTCCATTCCCACAAGGTTATGCTCAAAATGTGAGCTAAATTAAAGAAAGGAACCCCTTGTTACTTTGCCAGTGCAACAGTAATACAAAAGGAGCAGATTGTTCTATTGCTGCCTCATCTCCTTTGCTGGCTGCTCATAAATTCAGGAATTGACTTTCCACCAGTTGTCCTAGACTCCTCACTAATCAGACAGTCACCCACGATCAGGTAAAAGAGAAAGGCCATTCAGAAGTAATCTTCTCAAGTGCTTCAGTCCCCTCCTGTTGCCAATAGCTAGTCAGGCATTCAGTGAAACTGCCCGTAAGATATCTAGGGAACTCCTAAATGCCTGCTGGAAAATATTCAGATCCATAAAACACCTGAGATGATCCTTCTGTTCTTTCCATGGAGGTTCTGTACGGCACTCAAACCAGTGGGTTTCTACCAGTTCAGGCGAACTGGTAGCGGCAGCAGTGGGAGGCTCTGCCCACCCATCCGGATGTCATTACAGACACTCTGTGCATGCGCATAAGCGCCGCGCACGTGAGAGTGAAGCAAGCGAGCGTGTGCGTGTGCTCACAGTTCCGAACCGGTAGCGAAGGTAAGTGAAACCCACTACGGACTCAAACTCATCTGAACCAGGAAATAATCTGGCAAAGGCAAGTAACTAAGAGGAATGTCCTTCATTGCTAATCAACTACTCTCAGACAAAAGTAATATCCAGTATATGGCACCTATCAACTGCCACCTTATGTTTGCTTGTGCTTCGCTGCTATGCGGTGGCAGAAGGGAAATGAATGGGTGATGCTTTGGGAAATAAAAGTAAGTGCTTTAACTCCTCGAGATGTTGCCTCAAGGTCACCCAGCTGGGAGAAGGAAAGGGGCCACTTCACGGACTACACTTGGACTGACCATTAAGAAAACGTCTTGCCTGAACCTGATTGGTTACGCTGGGGTGGGCAATGGGAGACCGTTAAGGAAAAGTAGAACTTAGGGATTTTGGCGTGTAATTTTCAGTTCTGGCTTTGCACTTCTGCATTATACTTGATCTCTAATAAACTATACCTTTCTCAACAAATGGAGCCAAGAATCATTTTTATTTAGAAGTTTAAATTGTGCCAAGTCCAACACAGTCTTTATTTGTTGGGCTCAAGATTACTTAGGACAAACCCCTGATTATGATGGAATCCCTGCACTCCTAAGCATTATCGAACACAGCCCTGAAGACAGGATGATTAAACTCATCCAACACAAGCATAAGGATTCCAACCTCATGCCTGATCCCACTTCATAGAAGGATAGCTGGCACGCTAATTGTTTTTTGTAACTTTGCACATCATGCTCACTATGGCAATACATTTTCCAAAAATATATCTGGCTTAATGATACTCTGAATGTCTAATATTGATACAAGAAACAAAATGATTTCTCAGTGTTTGAGCCAGATATGAATCTGATCATGAAGAAGTGGTTCTCTGATTAGGTTGAATACGGCTCTGAAAATCTGCTACTTTAGTGTTGTTGTTTTTTAAATCTGTGATCAATTATGGATTTAAGTGGTTCTCTGATATTTGGTGAGAGATTATCCATAGATTTGGCCAGCAATATTCAGAACGTAGGGAGTTGGAGCAAAAACCTCTCTAGTTCCCAGGCTGGTTTACCAGATGGACTTGGAGAGTTCACCAAACAGGGTAGGAAGGTAATATTTCAGGCAAACCACCAGTGAATCCAGTTTGCTTTTAATTGATGAGCTTTGGAATCAGTGATCTAGAAACAAAAACACTTTATTGTGGTGACTATTTTCCCCGAAAAACGAATTGCACACGAAACAATGAAGGCCCTGCCTGGGATCATTTGGCATTCATTCCTCATGACCTATTTTACCTTGTAGCAGGTCAGTGGAACAAAACACATTGTCACGTATGTCCTTTTGTACATAATGCTTTGATGGATTGGTGGCATACAGACCCCCCCCCATTTGGCTCAAAAGTAGAATGATTGCTGCAGTAATCTGGACTTCGTAAAGGAACACCAGTGATCAATTCTCATAATCATTTGGCCAAGCGTTTAGTTCCAGAAATTATGTCGAAATACACCTGAGCAGTTATGTCGAAATTACACCTGAGCAGTGACTAGGACAAGTTAGCAAATTTGTCAGTTGTCAAACTCTGCTCACATGGCAGTACATACATAATGCATACATTTGCATCCACCTATAAATTTGCAGAACAGTGCCTGCAAATTCTCAGAGCAGCCCATGAAAGGTAGATGATTCCATTATGGTGAGTGCCTATACGATTCTTTTGTTTCTGCTCCTATCTCATGAATAGCCTGATTGGAGAATATTTAGTTGCAAGTAACGCAAAAAAAGATTTGGTTATGATATTCTGGTTTACATCTTTTTAGCTTGGTAATGCTTAACCCTTTTCAGGCTGACAACTGGTCTGATTCCTGGAACATCTCCAAAAAAATAAGAGATAAAGCAATAACATAAAACAAGAATCATATTCAAAATTAAACTAATTGAAATTCTCCCCCCCCCCTTTCTCAAAAATAGCTTTAAATGTTTGAGGTGTTGTAGGGTGTCCAAAAACAGTTCCTAAAGATGGGGTGGAAAATTTTCCTCCACCAACTAGATAAGGTAAGCCTATAGCTGGAATTTGTCCCAATAGAAGGATAGACAACGTATGAGGAGTGCTAGAGAAGGGAAGGCAGGAGGAGCCAGACAGGGTGAATGTCTGGTAAGGAGGAAAAGATGCAGGGTGGGAAGTTCTGAGTGCTGGACTAAAATTAGGACTGGAAAGAAATGGGGACTGGAAATGGCTAGGCCTTGTATCAGTGGTGGTATTCAGCCAGTTCTATCCGGTTCGGCCAAACCGGTAGCGGCGGCTGCGGGAGGCTCCGCCCACCTGCCCGGACATCATCACGTCCTGTTTTTGATGCTCTGCAAATGCACAGAAGGACCTGCGCATGCACGGAGGTGGCTCACATTTGCGAACCAGTAGTGAAGGTAAGTGAATACCACCCCTGTCTTGTATCCAGTACTTACCAACTTTCTCTGAGGAAGCCACCATACTACCTTCCCTTGCTGTTCAGTTCCATAGACAGAATCGCTAAGGAAGGAGAGAGACAATATCTGTGTTCTTCTATGAAAGCCCTTGAGGAGACCCAGAAGGGAAGAACGGTGATCCTGAGGTCAGGCTCATGTGCAGCTATGGCTAGAGGGAACCAAATCCTAAAGGAAGGATTGTGGCCAATGGTTCTCAATTTATTTGCATTTTCTTGCAAGAATTGTGCAATACCTAATGTTCAAATGCAACTACTGGGTTAACAGGTTGTGCCTCCGTTAATATCCACCATAATTACCCACTAAATTTACCTTTTATTGCTTTCCTACTGTTTTTTTTTCTTTTTTTCAGAGGCACGTTCTGGTTTTCCTTCTGATCCTTGCCCTTTTAATAAACTTATGTGATGCTCAATGTTCTGTGAAACCAGTCGGTAGAAAGGGTAAGAATTTTGTTTTGTGTTCAAAAGAAAAGAAAAATTGACATAGTGGTAATCATGGTTATCCAGATCCTCCTACTGGTTTTTCTCAAAATTCATAATAAAGCAGCACCCAAAGAGGGAAGGCAAAGTCTGATTTCAGTTTGATGAAAATAGTATCACACAATTTCAGTGCAGCTCTGCTCTTTTCAACATGTGCATATAATGTTGCTTTCACGAGAATGACTTGTTTAACCCATCCCTGGTGAAAAGTAAACTATATTCTTGATGCCCCCATAACTAGGCACAGTACAAATAATAAAATATAACATACAAATGTAATACAATCTCTTATTAAAGTTGAGTAAGATAAAAAAAAAAGAATCTCAGTAATTGGAATGGCCTACTACATTAAATCATTAAATCCTATTTCTAAATACCAATACATTCCTACATAAAAATATGTATTTTTGAAATCAGTTTAAAATTCTGATAGAAGTGTTTTGCAACCTGAAGACTCATCGAAGTGGATCTTAATGATTCTTCCCAAGTGATCAGAACTAAGAGCCTTGATAGTACAGTGGTTTAATGCACCCTGTTATTAACACAGCTGCCTGCAATTTCTGCTGGTTCGAATCTCTCCAAGGCTCAAGGTTGACTCAGCCTTCCATCCTTTCTAAGGTAGGTGAAATGAGGACCCAGTTTGTGGGGGCAATAAGCTGACTTTGTATAAATATACAAAAGAATGAAGGCTATAGCTTAACGCATTGTAAGCCTCCCTGAGTCTCCGGAGAAGGGCGGCATATAAATCAAATTAAAAAAAAACTACAGTAACAATAAAGCATAATGTTCTATGGAGCTGTCTGGGAGCTGTCTTTCCTTGGTTCGGTTAATTCCTCCCACTCTTCCTAAAACTGTCCCTTTTGAAAACTTGTGAGGTGTTTGAGCTGTTGGCTTTTTCTTCCTTTTCATAGCAAAAATGCCCTATTCAGGAATAAAGATGTAGTTTTAAGATGTTCTAGAAAGAAGGATTAAAAGTGGGCTATATAGTACAGGTAGTCCTTGACTTACGACCACAATTGAGCCCAAAATTTCTGTTGTTAAGTGAGACATTTGTTAAGTGAGTTTTGCCCCATTTTATGAGCTTTCTTGCCACAGCTGTTGAGTAAATCACTGCAGGTGTTAAATAAGGAACACGGTTGTTAAGCGAATCAGACTTCTCCATTGACTTTGCTTGTCAGAAGGTCGCAAAAGGTGATCACGTGACCCTTGGACACCGCAGCCGTCATAAATATGAGTCAGTTGCCAAGAGTCTGAATTTTGATCCCGTGACCATGGAAATGCTGCAATAGTCATAAGTGTGAAAAATGGTCATAAGTCGCTTTTTTCAGTGCTGTTGTAACTTTGAACAGTCACTAAATGAACTGCTGTAAATCGAGGACTATCTGTTCCTGAAATTTTCATTACTTAAAAAGATCAGACATTTAAGATTTTTCATTTAAAGAAATAAACTAATAAGTTAAATTATAGCTAAGTGTTGTCCTTAGTGGTCCAGAAGATCTCCAAGTCCCTTCCAATTCTGTTATTCTGTTATTCTATATATATATATATATATATCTACCAGGGATGAAATGCTACTGGTTCAGACTGGTTCAGGCGAACCGGTAGCGATGGTGGGTGGTGGTTCGGAGAACCAATAGCAATGGCAGCATGAGGCTCCGCCCACCTGCCCAGTCATAATTACTTCCTGGTTTTAACCAGGAAGTAACCTGTTTTTTACCCTCTGCACATATATAAAGTTATCTGTCATTTTATTGAGCAGTTTTTGAGTTAACAGACAATAGCTTTTCTGAGCCACTAATGGAACAGAATGGGACTTTTCGTCTCATACCCTTGGCCGTGTCTTCTTCTCCCCCAGCGTTCCTCCTCAGGTGATTCTCCTCTGACTTTTCTCCTCAGCTGATACGCCCCCATTCATTTGCCCTGGGCAATAGGCTACGGCCCCTCTGTCCCACATGCTAATGGAATGGGCAGCATGCAAGTATATAAATAAAATCTATCGATGAATCTATTTGGTGTTAAATCAAGGCTCTCAGTAATAATATTACTTTGACTGTCACATCTATAATCAATGTGAGTGAATTTAACATGTGATAGGAAATTCTATTTGGAGCTTCCAGAATTCCCCAGGGTACTTGTAAAGTTTGTGATAAAGGAAACTCTAGAAGCAAATTGTGTCTGTGCTGATTACATGATAAGAGAACATGAAAAAGGATTGGCTGCTTTATGAAAAATTGTCTGGTCAAATTCATTGAAAAGTTGCTGGATGATATCCAGAAATTCAGAATTAGTTCTACATTATTTGTGTTCGGCATCTTGCAGGCTGCTTTCAGAATGGAAAATGGTACCGTGCTCCTGCTGTTTGGAAAACAAACAACTGCCAAAGATGTGAATGTAAACCCAAAGAATTAATATGCTGCAGCCTGTAAGTTCAAGCCTTGTACTATCTTGGATTTGCTGAATTGTTGTGTTTAAATACTTAGATGACTATAAACCTCTTCCAAACTTGCTATATTTTAAATGTCCATTCACCTCACTCAAAAGACATCAGCTTTGTTGGCACTTTCAACTCTATATACATAGATATATGCTCTGTATCTATGTCTATATATCTATATCAGGGTGGATTCCACTTACATTTACTACCGGTTCGCAGCGGAATCACGCACGTGTGCTCGATTCCTTTGTGCATGCGCACGCTCTTCTGAGCATGTGCAGAAGCTTCTGCGCATGTGCAAATCACCAATGATAATGTCGTGCTGGGTGGGCGGAGCCTCCCACCGGTTTTACTCCTGGTTCTATAGAACCGGGAGCAACTCACCACTGATCTATATCTATGTACCTATATCTATATTTCCATGAGAATGGTTACCAAATCCTGGTAATGCAAGATCCTGGCTGGCACAAAAACTTATGCAGGCGTGGCATCTAGTCAAGGTGCTCATAGGATAGAATTTACTTAATCAAATACATGAAGCAGTTCCCTTCGTGTATATAGATTGTATGTGGAAGCTTTGGGGGAAGTTCATATTTGACTGCAAACAGTTTGCTGGTGTTTTTTTTTTTAAAGTAATGGCAAGAATATTGTCCTTGGCCTTTTTGTTCTAAAGATCCTCCAAATCTTCCTGTTTGATTCTCAAGTGTCTGCAACTATTGATCTACTTAAATCATCTTTTGGGTTGTTGACTCTAGACGAGAGGTCCCCAAACCCTGGTCCATGGATTGGCACTGGTCTGTGGCATGCCAGCAACCGGGCTGCGCAAACAAGCAAAGCCCGATCCTTGGGATGCAGGCAGCACAGGAAACCACACTCCCTCCGGTCCGTGGAAAAACCTCTCTTCATGGTACTGGTGCCTGGTGCCCAAAAGAGGTTGGGGGCCATGGCTCTAGACCAACCTGTGTCCTGAATTCCTGCAAACTCATTTATTTATGCTTACAAAATTATTTATTTTTATTTATTTGTTAAATGTATTTGCCACTTATCTCGATAGCTTAAACTTTATGAATAATAAAATTCAGGTTTAATAAAAGTTAATAAACTGATGATCTAAGCAACTAACATTGCTTAGATCATTATATTGTCCTCTCATAAAGATCTAAGCAACCTTAGATTTTATTAATGTAAATTAACTTTTATTAAACCTGCATTTTATTATTCATAAAGTTTGAGCCATCGAGATAGGTGGCAAATAAATTTAACCAGTATAGAAAAATTATTGTACAAGAAGTTGTACACTATTTTCACACGAAAAATTAAACAGTTATTATTCTCTTATTACAATAAGATAAGAGACAGGTTTTATAGGGGTTTATAGAGTGACAGGTTTTATAGGGGTTTGCAGGAGCCTATTAGCTTGTATTTATTTATTATTTATTCACATTTGCATCTTGCCTATTCCTATCACTCTAAATTGTTTACAAAGCATATGTGAAAATATGATAAACGATTAAATATTGTTTATGCACTGCTGCCTCTTACCCAAATGCCCTCTGAAAGAGAACTGTCTTTGCCATTTATCTAAAGGACATGATAATAAGGACATATCTAATTTCAGGGCAATACTGTTCCAGAATGAGAATGTCATTCTTGAAGTGCCACCTCCCCTGATAGTCTTCAGTCTGAGCACCAGTGATGGGATTCAAATTTTTTTACTACCGGTTCTATGGGCGTGGCTTGGTGGGCATGGCATGGCTTGGTGGGCGTGGCTTGGTGGGCAAGGCAGGGGAAGGTTACTGCAAAATCCCCATTTCCTCCCGATCAGCTGGGACTAGGGAAGCAGAGAATAGATGGGGGCGGGGCCAGTCAGAGGTGGTATTTACCGCTTTTCCGAACTACTCAAAATGTCCGCTACCGGTTCTCCAGAATTGGTCAGAACCTGCTAAATACCACATCTGCTGAGCACCATAAGTGTTCAGTACCAGCAGTCGGTCTATCTTGCTAGTTGATTGGTGTCTTAGGCGATTTCTTTAATGTACTGGTAATTTTATATCCTTTTTGCAACATGGCCTGAATATCTGTCTTAATTATTTAGAGTTTTCAGACCTATCAACTACGATAAGAAGAAATGCATTGCCATGTTTCACCGCCAAAGTTGCTCCATCCGTGTGGTGAAGAAGAATGACCCTGCAGAAAGATGCCACGTCTTTGCTGGGGTTGGTTAAAAATTTGTACTCCAATATGTTTTTTTTTGGAAATCTGGTATTTTTTTCTTTCTTCCATTCCCAGTTTTGATCTCAAGTATTCCATCTCTGTTACTAAGCAAACTTTATTTACAACAATTTTGTAGTTCTGACGATGACCAAGTTCAAGGCTGAAAAATTGTTGTTCCAGTCACATAAAAAAATACATATTTAATGGATTCTTACTATATGAATACATTAAATTAATTACATTACTATAATGAATGTTGCCTTCATAAAACCATTAGAACAGGCCCAGTATTTAAGATTCCTATTACAAAAATGTGTATTTTGGAAAAATGAGACCTTGGCCTAAATTTAATTGAACTTTAAACTGAACTTTAAAGTATGTATGTTAAGAGGAAGTTTAAAAAAGATGTATTAGAATGTTTTGATTTTTAGAAATGTTTTTAACAAAAACTTAGTATTTTAAAAATGGCTGAAAAAAAGAAGTATTTTCCCTTTAAGGTTAAAGAATTTGAAAGAATACAGTGAATATTGTTAATATAAATGGTGATAGTTTATAAAGATTATTAAGTGCAAATAGAAATACATATTATTTCATCAGAAAGGAAGATAAAGCAGAAATGGTTAAACTGATTGTTCTATTCAAAGAGGAGAATGTATTTATGTTTTTTATCTGGATATCACTTCTGGATCTTGTGCTTGTGATTAAAAAAATGAAACTTTGACTTTGGTTTTGCTGATTAGATAGATTTGTTGTTATAGAAATGGCTAGTTATATTCTAATGTGTAAAAGTAAAAAGTTGGGACTGTAATGTTACCTTGTACTGTGCTAAAAAGAGTCGGAAGTAAACACCTTTTCCTTTCTTCCCTTGGACCTCATATTTTCTTTTCCCCTTTCTTTTTTCTTCCTTTAATTTCCTATTTTTATTTTTCTCTGTACTATTCATTGATAAAACAATAAAAGTCATAATAGTCAAAACAACCATAACTGTTACTGAAGCCGTAGATCTAGCTGTAGTTATAACCATATTCAAACCATAATCCGCACCTAGTACCCAGGCTAAAACTCATCCTAGCCTAAATCCAAATATTTTTACTGCTGATTCTGTGGGTGTGGCTTGATGGGTGTGGCGTGGCTTGGTGGGCGTGGCTGGTGGGCATGATAGGGGAAGGATACTGCAAAATCTTCATTCCCACCCCACTCCAAGGGAAGGATACCGCAAAATCCCCATTCCCACCCCACTCTGGGGCCAGCCAGAGGTGGTATTTGCCGGTTCTCTGAACTACTCAAAATTTCCGCTACCAGTTCTCCAGAACCTGTCAGAACCTGCTGGATTTCACCCCTGCCTAAGCCCTTAGTCTAATACTAACCTTAACCTTAACCCTAACCCATTAACCAAAACATTAACCAAAACACTGATAGTTTTTTGGCTGATGAGATCTCCAGCATACTCAATCTGTTGAATCAATTGGACAGGTAGAAACTTTTTGAAAAAGATGGTCTTTTGGGTAACCCAGTCCCAAGTCATATAAGTATTTAAAGGTGACAACCAGCACCTTGAATACACCTGGAAACACACTGGCAGCCAGTGCAGCTCATGGATTAGTGGATTACATGTATTGTGTAGCCGGCACTATTTATTACCAGTTCAGTCACATTTAATACAAATAGAGGGTCGTTGAAGCACTTGGAGGTTTATCTGTGTCCTCAGAGTCACCCTCTAAAAGGATGCAAATAACCAGCTGTCTGCAAGGAATATAAATCCTTCCATTCCCCATTATCCTGTCAGAGCTGAAGAAGCTTCTTGGATGAGAAGTGAAACATCTTCAAATAAAAAACAAGAAAGTCCAGTTGCCTCCTGAAAAAGCACCTTTGGGACAGCCATGACTTGAATGACTACATTCAAGTCTACAGTCATTTAATAAATGTTTCACTTAGCCATAGAAATTTTGGGCTCAATTGTGGTCGTACATTGAGGACAACCTGTAGGTAATCACAGTTAAATTAATACTAGATTCTAAATTATCTCTAAACAAGGTTATTTATTTATTTATTTATTTATTTATTTATTTATTTATTTATTTATTTATTTATTTATTTATTTATTTATTTATTTATTAAATTTATATACCGCCCTACTCCCGAAGGACTCAGGGCGGTGAACAGCCAAGATAAAATACACATAATACAAATGTTAAAAACCATTTAAAATATATTAAATACCATGGCCCGAAAACAAATTTAAAACACCCCAATTTATAAGACAAATTTAAAATTTAAAACGATTTAAATTTTCAATGGTTCCAAAAACCGTCATCAAGGTAGGCCCTTGATAGAGTGGAGGGCCAAACCCACGAGAGGGGGGAATCTCGCAGTGCACGGAGCTCAGTCACCGAATACATCCGGTCATTGGGGATGAAAAATAGTCTATGGTCAGGGGGACCACTTCGGTGATTTAAAGTCCAGAGGAGAGAAAATGCCAGTCTTGGGTACAAGTAAACCGGATTCCACTGCCCTCTCACAGCAGTGGGAGGAGACAAGCGCCTTTTGACATCCGGGAATAGTTGACTGAATCACCCTCTCACGATGACTGGCCGACAAGGATAGTCCAAGGTCTTGGTAAAGTCGGTAGCGAAAAGGCAGTCATAAACCGACTGAGGTTAGTTCATTTAACTTGATTCTTCTCTTAAGATTGTTTGGCAAGTCCTCTAATGTTCAGTCCAGGGGTGAAATCCTCCCGGTTCAGACCGGATCAGGAGATCCGGTAGCAATTGTGGCAGGTGGTTCAGAGTACCGGTAGCGATGGTGGCGCGAGGCTCTGCCTACCCATCCGAGTGTCGTTACTTCCTGGTTTTAACCAGGAAGTAATGTGTTTTTTACCCTCTGTGCATGTGCAGAAGGTTTTGCGCATGTGCAGAGGGGCTGCACACGCATGTGATACGCGTGCGGGGTGCGTGCACTTCTGAACAGGTAAGGAAGGTAAGTAGATTTCACCCCTGGTTCAGTCTAATTTTGTTATTTTAACCATTCAGTCGTGTCCAACTCTTATAGGCAAGTGATCTCCATGCTACCCTGTTAAGCAACTTATTTCAGTTGTTGGATGTTCATCTTTGTATCAGTTTTGATGTTATCAAGTCAGTCTCTTCTTTGCTTGCCCTTTCTTCTTATTCCATGATTCCTAGCATCATTGACTTCTCCAATGAATTTGCACTCATGACATGGCCAAAGTAAAACAGACGTAGTTTTGTGATTTTGACCTTTTCATCTAATGTAATACATGTGGCAAATTAATCCAAAACATGTTCAAGTTTGCTGTTAAGTTTTAAGCTAGGATAATTTCCTGGAATACAGAGTGCAGTTGATTTCTTTATCTTATGCTTAAATTGGCATTACTTAAAAGGACATCAAAGAACAATGCACATTTGCTTTCTTACATCTTAGGATCCATCTAGATTGACTTTAATTTCCTGTATTCAGCACATGGATAAGTAGAAATAAATCCAGCTCATTCTTTACTACTGCACTCTCCCAGCTGTTAAGCAACAGGCTGTTTTAATGGATTTAAAAGGTGCTCCTATAGGGGATTTTATGGGCTTTTGATTAATACGGTATAAACTGGGTTGCATGATGCTCAGCTTCCAAAATACAAATAGCCTTCTGGATCAGAACATTTCCATATCTTTGGTTCATCTCTAAAATATTCATCAGCATTAACACCATGAAAATCACCAATTATACTATCATTTATAATGTCATAAATTTCCACTGATCTATGAGTTCTGTGAAGATTGATACATACCCAACCTTGATCATAGACCAGGTCCTCTTAATCAACAGCTGCCTATTAAATGTATGTTAAAGATGTTCATCTGGCTGGCAGCATCCACAAAGCAGGTCAAATCAGGCAAGATAAATGGTCACACCAGCATGATCAAAATCCTTACCCTTGGTATATGCGTGAAATATCAACAAGTGCAAAAAGGAACAGGGCTTTGATCGTGAAGATGCCACCACTATCTGTCTCGACACTTCTGCCTCACGCCTTTGCAATAATCCTTTTTCTGGAAGACCAGAGGTTGACTTAGATTAGATGCTTTTTTGCTAGTACGAGCAATGCTGGTTATTAGTACAAACAGTAACTTCTACAAGTAACTTCTACACATACACACAAGCTATAAAATGTAAATTTTGAGCTTCTTTCTTTTGCCCCTTTGTAAAGCACTGCTTGTAATCCATTTCTCATCCTGTTTGGTTGTCTGCACTGGGCTTGTGGTTTACAAAATGGTTCTGGTTATTCCTATGCCCCTTAACTTCCCATCTTGCTAGGGGTTTAGAATAATTGGCGACAGCCATATTGCCATGGCCACTTCAGGGTCCCCATCGCAGCCAACAACTGCAGGCTTTCATCTGCAGGTGGGCCTCCAGCGGCATTCCTCCACCAGCAATGGTCCACTGGTGTTCTTTCCAATCCTGGGCAATTTACTGAGAGACACTTGTCTGTGCGGGACAATAAACCATGCCTCCTAGCAGCTGGGAGGGGTGGGCAGTGGCCTCAGGCACCAGGCTCTGAGGTAGACTACGTAGCACCTCCAGCAAAGGGAGGAGCAACTAATTCTCCTGTGCAGCAATTTGCCTGCGGACAAATATCCCTCTGTGAATTGCCTGGGAAAAGGGGGTGGAGGAAGAGTGCCGGTGGATCATTGCCAGGGAAGGAGTGCTGGCGGAGGGCCAGCCGAAGATGAAAACCTGCGAAAGGACAGCTGTGGTAGAGGGCCTGTGAAGTGGAAGTGGCAATGTAGCTGCCGACAATTGGCTATTGCCAATTGTCCCATTCTGCCAATTGTCCCATTCCACTTGCTAGAATCCAGAACAATGCCACACAAGTAGATGCATAATATATACTTATGCTTTGCAACATGAATCACATTATTGGAAGGACTTTCAGATTTCTCCCAGTACTGTGTGAATGGCTAATGTATCAAGTTTTTCATTCCTGGCCCTGAAGTAAATCACAGGTCTCCATTAACTCCTTAATAATCCATCTTGACTTAATTCGCAAGCATGACTTATTTAGAGTTTTTATTACAGACACAAATTAACCTTTAAAATATTGATGACCTATTGTACTACCAAGAGATCAGAGACTTTATACATCTACACTCCAGCGTTTAAACTCCAAATATTTCCTCATGCCTTTCCAAATTAACGGATGCTTGTGGCCCCATGTAACGGATTTCAGAGGAGATTGAGAGTTGTCTATGTCTTTCTCTACCTGGGCTCAACTGGTCCTTCCTCATCAATTGACAGCCCTTTCAATCTCCATCCTTACAGTACCAAGACTGCACAACATTTTTCCTTTCAAGAGTTACACTGGATTTTAGCTGAGGGATTAAATTTAGGTGAGATTAAATAAATTTCCACAATAATTTGATTGAAATGAAGTTAGAGGAATATTCCAAGATAATTCTCAGAGGAAAAAGGCTTGAATATTCAAGACTGTAGGTTTTTTAATTACTCTGTAAACCGAGGACCATTCCATTTGACCAGATAAATAACCCTAATTGTTTGGGATTGGTCTGAGTTTATCATAGCAATGTCTCGCTAATTATCAATAAATCAAACTGCTATGACGCGATCTATAATTGACTGACTTTGAGGACAGAACCAAGATGGCAACTGGTGCTAAATTGCAGCAAAGATACAGAAAAATTGGAGCACGCGAAACTTTTTTCTACCAGATACTGTATGCTCGATCTGTAACTTTAAAGATCCAGATAGTACCTTTAAAACTGTATATGGATGGCAGCATAGACCTAAAAAGCTGGGCACTTAGTATAAGGATCATGTTTTATGAGATGGGCAATGATATAAATATGAAATAAATAAATATACAAACTTGCAAAATGTATACATAGCCACTGAGTTAAAAGAGAAAAAAAAAAATCTGTGTGGCCTTTTTAACAGAATCAGCAATCAACCTA